CCCAAATACCCTTAAACAAAGGAAAAGTACGTCCTTTATGAAGGCATAGAGCCTTTACTACATGAAAATGAAAATTAATGAATACACTGTGTACAGTAATTTACCTGATAAGACAGACCTCAGAAAAATACTTTATGAGAGCTTTTATACTTTTATAAAGCTGTCTATAATGAAAATTAATTAACTAAGGATTTTTTTTGCCGTACCAGGATGTGGCCGAGTTATCCGGAATGCCGGGTTATCGAGAGCCGAGTTTTCGAGGTTCTACTGTACAATAAAAAGTAAACGAAATTGTATATGTTGCGTGTCAGATATTTTTTCGGACGTGCCACATTGAGAACGCGTGCCATCCACAGTCTACAGTCGTTCATTACTTAAGAAATGCTCTTCTATAACAATTAAACTATTTAAAAGCTACAAATATATTTCGGGTTGGTATAATATACTCCAACCCCTCTTCAGTGCTAGTTCAAATAAACAAAAAGTGTTAAAACATGACTATGTTATATTACATTAAATGAAACAAACCAAAAAACACTAAAAACACTTACATTTTTTCATTAAGTACACAACAAAAATTATTTCTTATTTTGCTTATTCACAAATTAGGAGGTAGGGGGTAGACCGTTTACAAACATCAATTTATGTTTTAACATCAATTTATGTTTATTTAAAAGCTATTTCTGTTTGTATCCTTGTCTGCTTGGACCTTCTTTATTATACTGGTGTAGTTTCAAATTAGCAAATAAAGGAGATCTTAGTCAATAAAGTCAAAACAAAATATCGTTATTTTCACCTGATATTTTGTCATGGCTTTTTTGACTAAGATATCCTTTATTTGCTAATCGGAAACTACACCAGTAAAATAAGTCCTATTAAAGAAGGTCCAAGTAGACAAGGATACAAACAGAAATGTATAGACTACGAGTAAGGACATAGAGGTAAAAACAATTAATATTTAAAAGTAATTTCATAACATTATCGTAATAATTTTAGTGACAGAAAATAACTGTTAATCATTTTTTTAATTATTAACGAAGTAATTTTTTTTTAAAACATAAAGAAGTTTTTACATTACAAGAATATAAGAAATTAAAATATAGAATTCGTTTTACTCGAATTGAATTAATTTTAAATATAAAAAAATTATAATTATTAAACAAACCGAAATTGCAGTTTTAAAATTAATTATTGTATTTCGGGAAAAAACCGATTTTTCTGGAACAGCGACAATAACTGTAATAATAAGCATTATTATTAGATTTGAAGGTCGAATCCAAGACAAAACACGGGATCTGAGAATAAAGGAAAATAATAAACGCTAATTCGATCTTCTGGTAGAATTTAATGCAGATGACAGCTGTTAAAACCTGATAAAGTGTCGAGTGTGATAAGTCGATAAATAATTGTTTAAGGTCACTTCTCGAATTCATTATCATTTTATTAAAATTTGACGATCTGTTGTTATGAAAGGAATACGAAAGTACAATAAACCCTAGATTTAATGGACGAAAAGTTCCTGTCAGATAGAAGAAGTACAAAACCTTTTTTTTCGTGAATAGAACGTAGATTAAAGAGCGGAGGAAAGAGTAAAAGAGAATTATTTGGTGTAGGAGAAAGGCCCATTACATGTTTTAGTTTGGGGCCTCGACAAGTATGTCCAGCCTGGAATAACGCGCTTTAATTCTTTAAATGCCAACATCTACTATTGCATTCGGGCTTATATTAAGAGAATTAGAAATCAAACTTAAAATTCTGCAATGTTTCGATGGTTATATTTATTGATAAATTCCTTCTTTATTAATCATTTTTATTCGTTATCTTGTTAAAATTTGTAGTTAACTGGTTCTGCAAAGGAGATAAAAAAACAATTCGATATAAATGTCATTCGAGGATATAAATATTACATTTATCTTTAATTTATTATCTGAAAGGATAAAATTTGATCATTTTATCCTTCTTTTAATTTGTTTTTTCTAACTACTCAAACTTCTAATGAATATAATTTAATAAATTTAATATTAATTATTCAAATATACCACTAAATAAATTATATTTATATGGATTAAAACATAAATTGCTCATTAAATTAAATTGAATAAAATATTTTTAATATATTAAGATTTTACTTAATTTATCATTTTTCTCAATTTTATATGTACTGTACAAGTTTTGTATAGCGACAAGAAAATATTTATATTTTGTCTTTTGAAAATTAAATGATAATATAAATATAAATGATAATGACACGTCAATTTTTATATTATTTCATAAAGCGCGAAGGATGAAAAATCAATGTACGATAATATATTAGTTGCTTCATTTCAGATATTACATTATCAAAATTAAAATAAAAATATTCCAATAATTCGTTTAATGCAGATTCTTTTATAAACGTGCCAGCCAATTATAAAAATGTTTAAATGCGTATCAATACGACAACAGCTCCATATTTAATAACAAGGCATAGAATGAATTATGTAAAGTATACTTTCTGCTAAATACATTATAAATCGATCATTTACCGTATATCTTATAATATATACAATATAAAAATAGGTTTTGTTGAATGGATCCAATCTTCGGTTTCTGGCCACGTTCAACTGTAACTTCTTTTGTTAATGCTGTATATTTCTCCTTTCGTACGAATACCAAGTGTTCCGAAAATAGGCTACATATAATACCCACGAAATCGGGGGATTTAAAAAGTTTTACTCCTCGTAAAACTGCAGAAATTTTAATATTAATCAAACTCCTTCTTGGTGGCCATTGTGGTAAAGTACCATTTGTCAACGTCGGGATATTTCGGGATATACAGATTCCGGTCATGCTAACGTGACCGGAATCTGTATATCCCGAAAGAGACCAGGTAAGTAAAATTTTACTGTATTTTTGTCAAATTTTAATTATTTTCAGTTAAATTTCGTCCCTTATTATTGCATTTTTATTATTGTTGAAAATTATGTATAACACCATTTAAAGCGACGTTTATAAATTTTAGTGATTTTCATAATAAACAAATAATAAAGTATATACTGTATATTGTAATGTTATTTTTATGTTCATTGTCTAGTCTCATTTCCGATTTAAAACTTAATATAAACTTAGATATTTTCGAATGGAATAACCAGTATAAATAACTTTAGTTTTAAAATGTTTTAAAAATAATTTATTTGATATAATTTCTTGTTAGTTCAGAATGCGAATAGCATCTACCTCTTTCTACTTATTAATCAATTAAGTCGAGGCCTAATGTACGAAAATTACATATTTGATTAAAATTATTTCATAAATTTAGCGAAAACTATCGTATATTGTCAAATTTTCTTTTATATATGTGTGCAATTAAATATGCGTAATATCGACTTGCTTTATTTAAAATAAAATTTTCTTTAAAATCGGAAAATGTATCTATAATTGTCCATATTTAGTTCAA